GGTACACCTGTGAGTACCAGAGGAAAAATAAGCCCCGAGATACATCACCACGCAGTGAGGCCCTTCTGCTCCTGGTGACAGGTGAGGATACCTGGGCTTCCCGGGGCTGGCGGGTGAGGGAGGAGCCCGAGTCGGAGGAGGCAAGGGCGCCCCTCCAATGCAGCTGGGGGGCTGGGGGAGACGAGCGGAGCTGGTGTTGCTCACCCAGGGCTGAAGGAGGCAATGTGCTCCTGGAGCTGGGTGGGAGAGGAGGGGCCCGGAGTCTGCCCCGCCTCCCCAGAGCCCCCTGACAGGACGGCGTGACCCTGGAGCCTTCTTGTCTTCCAGGTTACTTCCCTAAACCGAGACTCCAAGCCCCGCCAAGGGGAGAGGTGCCCGCAGGAGGGAATGTGACCCTGCAGTGCCAGTGGCCCCAGCACATGACTGAGCCTACACACTTCGCAATACTGAGGGCAGGAGTGTCATCGACACCCACCCAGGTCTGGGCGTCACAGGAGAGGGGGGCCAGCTTCTCCCTTCTGAATGTGACAGCCAGGGACAGTGGGAACTACAGCTGTGTGTACCACCAGACCCAGGCTCCATTCCGGGCCTCACACCCCAGTGATCCCATCTCCATCCGGGTGACAGGTAGGGTAGCCTCCGATTCTCGCTGTCGCCGCCCTCCTCTCCCCTGCGTCCTCCGATCTCCCACCCCTTTCGCTCCTGCACTGCTGCCGCGTTTCTCCGCGCCTGGAAATAACCCACCGCCGTCAGCCTTTGCGAGTGACTCGGTTTGGCGCTCGGCGGGCGCGTGATCCCACAGCCTCCTGCTCGGGCTGGCGGGTGGGGCGTTCTCAAGTGGAAGGCGCTCAGCTCGCAAGTCTGTAAGACGACCGACCTCGTTCGGGAAGCATCGGCAAAGCTTGGGCGGGACCCTCGAGACAGCAAGGCGAAGGAGGGGCACAGCCCGCCTCTTGCCAAGATGGGGCATGCCGGTCCCTGGCCACTTTGACCCTCCAAACAGACGGGTCACTGCAGTGGGAGGCAGGCTGGGGTCCGCCTCCGGGAGGAGGGAGGACGGTGTGAGCTTGCACCCCCCCCTCCCCACAGCCTCCCCGAGCAGCCCCGAAGTCTCCTCAGCTGGTCAGCGGGCATCTGGCGAGCTTCCAGTGCTTGCCAGGCCCTGTGAGGTGCGGGGGTGTGAGAGGAGCGCCCACCGTGCGGCCAAGATATCTCTTGCAGGGAACTTTCTTCTTGTCTTCCTGATGCTTCTCATTGAATGAATAATTTTTCTTCACATTAATAATGTCTATTCGCAAGTAAACGTATGGAAAATAAGTTAACTTGCAACCTCTGCACATTATGCTCCTAATGACAAACTTCCTTAATGACAAGTTTGGAATGTGTGGGAGTTGACTGTCTTAATGTGTTTCAAAATCGCTGCCTTTCTCTGCTTTCCACCCACACACGGCCCTAAACCAACAACCCAAATATCAGAAATGACCAGAGACGCTATTTAGGCGAAAATTTTCGCGTGTCAACACGTTTAATATTGTGGCCATCACATGCCGGTTCGAACACAGCCGTCCATGAAAGGCGGCTCTGCCTTGCTCACAGCACCTGCCCCGCAGCGGCTGAGTTTAAGCTCCACCCCTTAGTCACTGCCTCAGGCTCTTAGGCACAACTTCAGTCAGGCCTCCCTGGTGGCGCAGGGGTTAAGTCTCAGCGCTATGAAGCCACCAGCAGCCACGTCAGTCAGAGTTGGGTCCCAGGCCAGGGAGCGACCCCCAGGGCGGGGTAGCCCTCTCCTGCCCCCCCCTCCCCTCAGCAGTGGGTTTCAGTGGATCCACCTGTTCTGCCCCCCCCTGTCTCTGGGGAACCCTCCCACCTTCCCCCACCCCATACCCCTGGTGCACACCCAGGTCCTGTGTGCATACATAAATAAATCTCTTTTTTTTTAAGAATAACTTCAAACCCAGTAACCTCATCATCACCCAGCAGTAACCAGTGAAAGGCTTGAGCGTTTAGGAGGTGGAAGGAGAGGCCCTGCCGTGGGCCCCACTTGTAATTCTAGTGGAGCAGACAGACCCTGGGTGTCTCAGGGTGGGAGGATGACATTTTATGTTGGTTGAGCTAGAATATTTTTCCTGATCATTCGAAGGATGATTGGGCAAAAAAAAAGCTCATGTTTCACCCACCCCAGAAAGACCTTTCCGACGATGATCGCGCCTTTCCGAAGGTCCCTTCCTGCGAGTTCCAAGGCGGGAACGCCCTCCTTTGGCTGGCGCGCAGGCACCGTGTCCCTCCAAACTCCCTGCGAACAGCTTCTAGCAGGGAAGTGAGGGAAGGTGGACTGGAGAGCAGGGGCCGGGGAGGGGGAGCGGAGCGGTAAGTGAGGCACCGTGAAGGAAAGCAGGTCTGGAGACCACCTCGGTTCTCGCCCAGTCCCTTGGCTGTCTTCAGCGATTAACAAGTGCAGGACGGCAGAGCTCACCACTGCCCAGGGACAAAGGGCTCGTGGCAGTGACATCTGCTGGATCCACTGGAGAAGAAGGACAGTCCACGGCCAGTCCTCTCATTCTCTCTTCCAGACTCCCCGGGGACCTCATCAGAGGACGACACCACGGTGAACCTCATTCGGCTGAGTCTGGCTGCCCTAATTGTGCTCATCCTAGGGGCTTTCCTGGTGGAAGCCTGGTGTGGCCGGGGGTCCAGGTAAAACACCTGGGCACTCTTCTCTTTTAAAATGGGCTTTTTCCGTGATCGGTATTTATTTAAAGACCACTCTGTACATAGGAGACTTCCTGAGTTTCTCACCTGCAGCACCAAATGCATCTCAGTTGGGATACTTCTCCACCAAGCTAGCCAGTCCTGCGGTTGCAGAAACACTCAGCCGCTATTTTCCATTCCCACCAAACACCAGGTGACGCTTTCCACAGAATGAGAAGAGTCCGTACCTCGGCACACACCCCTAGACGAGGCCACTGGGGAGTGGGGCGCAACGTTCTCCTGGTGGAGAACCCGTGTTTGGGGGCTAGAGGAATCATCTCTCCTCTTCCTCCCTCCCCGATCTCTGGTCTGCCCTTCTCCCCACAGGCCCCACAGCTGCCCGGAGGAATGACCAGTGCTGGGCCACTCTAGACAGCAATCCCCCGCGAGGACCTCCCCACGGGTCATTAGCAGCCCAAAGCCCAAGTGCTGTGCACTCGCTTGTCCCCCACACTGCCCACCCTTCCGCCAGGCTATTAAAACATTTTTGAGGAAACATTGGTTTATTTTGTTGTTTGTATTTTGGCAACACGTGATTCTTCCCCTTTCCCGTCAGGTTTTGTCACCACAGCGCCCCCACCAGCCACCAGATCTGTTTCATGCTCACACTACCAACTTCAGCAGTGAGTCAAGGCTAGTGAGAAAAAGGCACAAACCTGTGCTGTAGCACCACCTCCTGGAAATGAAAAGGCAGGTTCCTAGGGATCAGCAGGTTGAACTGTTAGAATCAAAGTAAGCAAAGCCTTAGCTAAGGGAGAAAGGTGATCGTTGCTTCAAAGGCAGAGGCAGAGGAACCATCAAACACTAGGAAAAATCATGGTAACATGGTATCATGAAAAGAAAGTGACAGTTTTCCAGCAACTGAGCCCAAAGACATAAAATACTGCAATCTGAATGCAAAACAGACACGAAGAAGTTAAATGAGTTACACAATAACACATAAAGCAAAACTGAGCTCAGGAATAAAATTAACGAGCAGGAAGACTTCACCAAAGACTGAAATTCTATAAAAGAACCAAACCAATTCTAGAGCTGAAGAACTCAGTTAATGCTGAAGTTGCATTAGAGCACTGGAATATAGCAGATCAGAAGTGTACAAACTCAAGCTTAAGGATGGAGAAACGATTCAGGTGGAAGGGAAGTAAGAATTAGGGTTTTTTTAAGTGAAGAAACCCCAGGAGATCTATCAGGCTACATGAGAAGGGCCACATGAGATTAATGGGTATGACAGGTGAAGAAAAGGAGAAGGGGCAGAGAGCTTATTTGAAGATGCAAAAATATATCGCAGAGTGTGGTAGAGGAAACAGAGATCATAACAATAATAGAAAGGATTGATGAAATGAAGACTGGGTCTTCAAAAAGATAAACACAATTGACAAACCTTTAACTAGAATAACCAAGAAAAAAGAAGACTCTAAATTAATCAGAAATGAAAGAAAAGATGGTAGATACTACATACATTGACTCATAAATTATTATGAATAATTATATGCTGATAAATTATATAATCTAGGAGAAGTAAATACATTTATAGAAACATTAACCAGTCTGAATCAAGGAGAACAGATTAATAATAAGGAAAGATAGTAAATCAGTCATAATTCTTTAAAACTCCCAACATAGGGAAGTCCAGGGCCGGAGAACTAAACTGATGAATTCTACCAAATATTTAAAGAAAAGGCCACAACAACCCTTCTCAAATTCTTGCAAACTTTCTGTGAAGCCAGCATTATCTAGAATAGAACAAAGCATGTAACAGAAAGCTATAGACCACTATCCCTGAGGAATATCGATACAAAAATTCTCAACAAAAAGTTAGTGAACTGCATGAAAAAACACACTCCAAGGGCTAGATACCATTGTGAGTTAGCCATAGGATGCAAGAATGTAACTCAATAAATATAGTAGAGTACATCATTAAAAATGAAAGATGAAAGCCACACCATCATCTTAATAAATGCAGAAGAAGCATAAAATACAATATCCTTTAATAATAAAAATGCATAATAGATTGGGTATAGAAGAAACATAACTAAATACAATAAAGCCCATAAACAACAAACTCACAGCTAGCATTTTACTCGATGGAGTAGAATTGGTCTTAGTGACAAGCAACCTCTTTATTCAATATAGTCTTCTAAGTGCTGGCTGGAATACTTAAGCAAGGCAAAGTAAAAAACAAACAAACATCCAAATGGAGAAGAATTGAGACTGTGACTATTTGCTGATGATATCATCTTATACAGAGAGTCCCAGAGCTAAGCAAACAAGTGTCAGAATGAATCAATGATTTCAGCCAAGTGCCAGGATACAAATCCAACACTCAGAAAGCATTTGTATTCTTTTAATTGATGAGACATCTGAAAAAGGAATAACATCCCATTCTCAATAGAATAGAAACAATAAAATGCTGTGGGATAAATTTGACTAAGGAAGTGAAGAACCTGTATAATAAAAACCTGTAAGTCTGCTGAAAGAAAGCAAAGAAGACACAAACAAATGGAAAGGCATCCTGTGTTTATAGATTGACAAATTACTACTGCTGATACAGCCAGACTACTCAAGGCCACTACAGGTTCAATACAACCCCCATCAAAGTTCCAAGACATTCTTCACAGAAACAGAAAAACAAAATTTTCAATTTGTGAGGACCCCCGAAAGACTCTGAGTCCCCAAAGCAAACCTGAGGAAAAAGCAAAACCAGAGGCATCAAACTTTCTGGTTTCAAACTATACCACAAAATTACGGTAATATAAACAATATGGCACTAGCACTAAAACTGACATATGGATTAAAGACATAGAATATGAACCCAGAATTAAAATCTGGCACATGCAGCCAACTCATTTGCAATAGCAGAGCTAAGAAGACCAGTGCAGGAATGATAATATCTTCAACAAGTGGCCCTGGGAAACTAGAGAAACACATGAACAAGGAAATTGGACCCCATCGACAACATCCACAAAAACTAAGTCAAATTGAATCTAAGATCTAAACATAGCCCTGATGCCTTAAAACTCCTATAGGAAAAGGCAGGGAAGAAGTTCAATACTGGACTTCATAGTTTTTTTTTTTTTTTTTTTTGGAAATGACGCCAAAAACACAACAAAATAAAAAATGCACACATGAAACTATATCAAACTCAAAAGCTTCTGCATAGCAAAAAATAATCATAACACTATAACAGTTAACAAAATTAAAAGGCAATCTACAGAGAGGGAAACCTTTTTGTAAACCATATACTGGATAAGGAATTAATACCCAAAATCTATAGAGAGCTCATACGATTTAATAACAACAAAGACCAATCTGATTTCAAAGGGGACTGAAGAGTAAAACAGACGTTGCCCAAAGACGACGTCAAACCGGCCGGCAGACACCCAGAGCGCTCGCTCATCGCCAGGGAAAGGCAGGGCCACGCCAGACACCCCTCACCTGCGGAATGATGCTCGCCAAGAAAGTCAGGAGACCTTGCAACGTCGCGTTCATTATGTGACGGGTCAAAGCTGGGACGACGGGAGTCATATCCCGATATAGCAAAGTAACACGCCACATCTGACACTTAAATGTCACATGGCAAATTTGTTTTGAAAAAAATGCCAGGACAGGAGCGACAAGTCCTGTCTGCAGACTTCGCGAAGCACCGAGCTGGCGGCCTCCTCGAGCCCTTCACGGACGCAGCCTTGCGGAGCTCTGCGGACTCACAAAGCCGCCCCGGGACTCACGAAAGCCCTGGGGCGACAGACACCCCCGCCCCGCCTCGGCGCCCCGAGGTCCCTCAAGTCGCCAGCGGCTTCCGAGCAGACCCCGAGTAAGGGGCACCCCAGCCGCGGACCCAGAACACCCTCCCCAAGCCCCGGAACGCCCCTCAACTGGCCACGCCGGGTGTCGCCGCCCCCGGCCCACGCTCCCCCGCTGGGGGCTGTTCCTCCCCACCGAGGCGCGGGGTGCGGGCACTCGCGGGGACCCCCAGTCTAGGCCACCGCGGCGCGCACCGACAGGCCAGGTCACACC